ATGACCAGGCTGCCCCCTGGCTGGCAGGGTGGCGGGAGGCAGAGGTGCCCACCACAGAGAGCGGGGAACAAACCGGCCACATCCTAGGAGCGCATGTGTCCCAGCGTTAACGGCTGCGGGCAAGGGAGCCGAGTTCAGGGACGTCCTCCTGGGGGGCACACACGAGGCGTCCTGGCAGTCCTGGTCCAGGAGGGTGCGAGGCCATGATGTGGACACCCCTAGCTCGGGCCCCTGACACATCCCACTATCATGATTTTTAAACTGTTTTCAGCCAGAACTTGTGAGTTTACTGGGACCTAGAAGTGGTAGCATAGTAATAACAGGAGCCAAACAATAGTGAGCCAGCTTACACTTACCTGTGGGCTCACTGCATGCGAGATGGTCTTCTAAATGTTTCTATCTCGTTATTTTATCCTCATAACAAGTCAGAGAGGTGGGCACCATCATGACCCACCCTCCCTCCCATTGCACGGAGGAGAAAACTGAGGCACAGAGGAGCTAAGTAGCTCATTCGAGACCATAGGAAGCGAAACACAGATTCAAGAGAGGGAGACCCACCCTTCCCCATCTCACTGGCAAGCTCCCCATGGCTTGCGGACAGACTGCGGGTGAGGCTGTGAGGGAAAGGCATTCAGATGTGTCACTGGTGAAAGGTCGAGCTGGCAGACCTCCCGTGCACAGTGACGTGGCTGTGTATCAATGTTACAAGTGCCCATGACCTTCACGCAAGCGCACAGCCTCTCTGGGAAGTCAGGCCACACACTAGCAAGAGTGTGAGCTGAGATATGCACGGGGTCGATTATTACAGAGTTGTGTGCAAACAATCCAATAGCCATGAATCAGAGAATAGTTTTTAAAAATTATGGTCTATTGAAACAATGAAATGGTAGGTCCTTTAAAAAAAAAAAGAAAGAAAGAAAGAAAGAAAGAAAGAAAGAAAGAAAGAAAGAAAGAAAAGAAAAGGAAAGGAAAGAAAAGAAAAGAAAGGAAAAAAGAAAGCGAAAGGAGAGGCTCCATTCTCTATATTGGAAAAATCTGCAAGACATGTTGTTTAGGTGCAAAAAGCAAGAGGCAGAACACCACATCTTGTCTACGGGGGTGGAAACTAAAATCTGCATTTCTCCTTGCCTGCATATTTATGTAAATAACCTCGGAAAGGATACGCACAAAATGCTTGCTCTCACATGTGCTGGCAGACAGTCTAATGGCACAAGCAAACCTGGGAAGCCATTTGTCAAGATCTAGTAGGGTTGAAAATGCGCACATACTAAAGTCAGCCATGCCCCCGTAGACAGCCATCCCAGAGAAGCCATGACACGCGAGACCAAGGACCATGCACGACAACGCTCCCCGGAGCGCTCTAGGACAGTGGCGGGGGGTGGCAAACCACAGGGCCATCGATCCCCCCCAGAGCAGACACGAAACAGTGAGTGGAAAACGTGAGGGGCAGGAAACGTGCAGTTTGAAGTCGTGTACATGGACGTGTTTAAATATTTATAAAAAAAAAAACCACTTCTGATTTGTAAGTACATACATAAGTGAAAAAAAGTATTTTTAATGCATACCTCAGTAATAATATTCAGGATAAAAGTTACCTTTGAGGAGGGAGACAGAGTTAGTAGGGGAGGCCTGTTCCAATCCTAGCTGCAGCATTTGAGGTCTTGAACAAGAAGATACAGGGTGAAAAGGAAAAGGAAAAGATTCTTAGAACCTTCATGAGTCTGAGTTACTGGGAGTCTAGGCTTCTTGAGTTTCTAGGCGATATCGATAAAACAGCCCATCTAATAACAGTACTGAGAAAACATGACTCCGGGTCCTCTCCGGTCTCTGCTGGTCTTAAAGCAAGACAATTCTCTGACTGAAGCTAGTTTTGTCTCTGTCCATTTCTCTTCGGGACTTCTTGGCTTCTCACACTGACACACATAACGGGAGCAAAGCATAAACATTGAACTAAGAAATTAATCAATTCAAACTCTTTAGAAGAAGGTAACTTACCGTGTAGTTTTTACTTCCCTTTAAAGAAATACCAGCAGATGTTAAAAAAATTCCTTGCAATCAAGCTTCTGTTGACAGAGTCATCACTGTGGAATTAGCTGAACGGTTGTGATGTGCATCTTACATCTGGCCAAAGAGGAGGTAAGACTTTTCTGCTCCATCAGTGCCCCACGTCTTGGACACATTTTCTCTCTAAGTGCCTACTTGTGAGCTGCGTGGTTAGCTCAGGGCCACGTCCCAGGGACACAGAAGCTGGCTATGCTTCCCAAGGCTCCACGTGGAGAGAGTCACAAAGAGTCACAAAGGGACCGGGCAAGGAAGAAAGCCCAGGGTTCACGGTGGCCCTTTTTGCTTCTCCGCTAGGGAACAGGGAAAGTGGAGCTTGCAGAAGGGTGAACACCACTCACCCTGCGTGGGACCAGGCCAAGAAAATAGAATCACAATGAAGTCTCCTTGTTTCCTTCATCTTTTCCCCCTCCTTCCTCAAGGGATGGTGCTGCGACCCAGGAAGTAGGAATGAAGGGAAAATGGCCAAGTGGTGGGCAGCCCAGCACAGTTATGCGGGATGCGAAGGGGGAAAATCCGAGGTGGACTCCTGGTTCCAGCACCGGTTGGCCACTGTGTCACCCGCCTCCCTGGCACTTGGCCTCTCACCTGAACAGTGAAGCTGTCCCTGAGAACACCTCCCTCAGGCGGTCGTTCTGTGTGCTAGGACATGATGACAGTGGAAATGCATTTTGTAAACGTGAAGGGGGCTTCGAAGATATTACTGACAGATGGGGTGGTGTGCAGCACACTCAAATTGTGTGTGAGGGAGGCCAAGGACACCGAGTCACAGGACTCCAGGAAGAAGACAGACACTCTGTTCAGGCTCTCCTGGGGCGGCCACGAGAAAAGCTGCCTGCGTGTCTGGGGTGATGGTGGAACACTCTCACGGGGGGCGGAGGGCAATGAGGCTCGAGGTAGAATGGATGCTGGCACATCGGACAGCCACCGTTAGAGAGAAGGTCTCATTTTCCCACCCCATTTTCCCAAAGCAGGTACTGGCCGGCAGTGAGGGTCTAGACGGTCTGGACTCACCTTCCTGAGGAAGACCATCAGGAAGGACAGAGAAAACAGACACGGCTTCTCCCTAGAGCAAGGAGGAGCTATTATTGCTGTGGGGGAACGACTGGGTCACAATGTGGAAGATGGAAACGTGGAGAGGTAGGCCGGCCATGGGATGGCCTTGGCCTCTGGGAACAAGGCAGCTGGGAGACCAGGCAGTGCCTCTGTGGGTCTTGGGGGTCGGGAGACAGAGGCTGGAGTCCGCAGCATGCCAAAGATGAGGTGTCTGGCAAAAACCCCCACAGTTCGGCTGGGGACTCCCAAGGAACAGACCCGGAGTAACAGTGCAATGAAGATCAACCTGCCCTTGAAGCAACCGCTGCAGGCTGACTTTGACTTCTCTGCTCTGAAAAAATCTCAAGCGCAGAAATTATAAACAGATTTTGGAGAGCTAATACCCTCCGAGCGCACGGCAGAGGCAAAGGAAAATGCCGTCCCACAGAGGAAAGTGTAGGACCAAGGATCCAATTATTTCTGCAGGGACAACCGGATCCGTGCAAGAAAAAGATCGGAATTGGACCCCTATCTCATGCTACATGCAACGATGAGATCAAAGTAGACCACAGATGAAATTTAAGGTCTAACATCACGAAACAATCAGAAGAAAACACCGGTGTACATCCTTAGGACCTTGGAATAAGCACTGGTTTCTTAGATATGGTCTGAAAGCGACACAAAGGAAGCACTGATACAGTTAGCAACATGGATGAACCTGGGAAACATTATGCCAAATCAAAGCTGCCTGTCCCCGAAGGACACAGCGTATTTATATGAAGTGTTGAACACAGGCTACTCTACAGGAACAGAAAATGAAGGAGCGGTTGCCTGGGGCTGGGGTGAGGCTGGGCATGGGGGCCAGGGCTGCTCACATGGTGAGTACACGGTATTTCTCTTCGGGGAGATGAAGAGGCTATGAAAAGTAGGTTATGGTGAAGAGACTCATGGTCACCGAATCGTACTTTAAAATCATAACTGTACGGTATGAATGATACTTCAATAAAGCTGTTATATAAAAACTACTGAATTAATTTTTTCCCCATGTAGAAGGCGCAGCGTGATCATCAGAGAACCCGGCATGCGGGAAGGAAAAAATGACAGGAACAAGCACACTGACAAGATGACACGGGCAGGTTTCCGCACCACCCCAACCACTGTCCAACAACAAGGCCTGTCACCTGCCTGCTGTGGAGATAAGGGACAAACATGTCTACAGGAAATTTAACACTGTAGAAACTGGCATTTCCAGGTCGAAAAAGAAACCACTAGAACTATTAGAAGTCTCTAACTGACATTCAGAACCCAGTGGAGAGGGACAATTTTAACAGCAGATTTGGCACAGCCAGAAAGTGAAAGAGTGAGCCGGGAAGTAACAAGAAAACATTAACCCGATTAAGGAGAAAAGAAAAAAAAAAAAGGATACTAAGATACAAAGCAAAGATAAATAGAATATAGTGAAAACTTCTAACATATATTTAAACATAGTTGAAGGGATGAGACTAAGTTATATTTTTAAGAGAAATGGCTGAAAATGTGTTTTCTAAACCTTAGAAAGATGATAGTCCACAGATTTAGAATTCCAGGGAACTCCAAGAAGAATAAATAGGAAAGAATACACCTCCAGACACATAAGAAGAAAGAAAGAAAGAAAAAATCAAAGGCAATCAAAGGAACAGAGAAAGTCATAAAGCAGCCTACAATCTTGAGGCAGACTGCCTTCCAAGCACTAGAGCTGGGGAGATCAGGAGCAAAGAGATCAGGACACTCTGTTACCAAACACAGAACTGCTCGGGTTCATCTAGTCTTGCCTATACTTGAGAAACAGACAAACTGAACCAGACACAGGACTGGGGGAGAGGCCTGGCCACGTAAAGGGCTCAGAGGCTGGGTGAGCGCCTCACCTTCAGCCATTGCTCGGCCTGCTCCTTGCTCTGGACCGCAAGTACCAACGGGTCTGTGCCTTGCTGGGTGATCTTCAGCTCGTGCTTCTTCTTCTTGCTGTCCTTCGGGGTGTAAGTGATGTTGCAGCCTTGGAGGGGCAGTTCCATCTGGGGCTGCTGGTCCTTGGAGCTTTTGTAGCACTGCATTTAACAAGAGAAAGCAGAGTTAGGCTGAAGAGAGTTCGAGGAGAAACACGGATACAGCTCCAGCAGGATGGGAAGGCCGGTGCCTGCGAGGCCCCTGAGGTCTCCTGAAGACCCCAGAAGATGGGTCTGCAGATGCACATGCGTCACCCACATGGGGCACGCTCCACACCCCATGTCACCCCCCACGTACATGAAAATACTTCTACTCTTTAGTTCAGCCAAGTTTACTGAGCATCAATGACGTGACTCAGCGGGAACCGGAAACTCCTTCCTCCCCTGGGGATCACAGACCAGCGGAGCCTCCTCACTAAGTCACACGAATGTGACATACTAGATGTGCCAAAAAGCACAGCCCTCGTGTGGACAAACATCTGGATGCCTTCTTCTACAACCTGTGTCATTTGGTATCTGCCAGGTCTCCTCTCTATCCCCTTTTGGAGAGACGGATGAAGGACTTCCACAAGAGTATCCAGGGCAACAGTTCCCAGACCCCATGTCTGCAAAGGCTGGCTTTCCAGTCGAGTACGGGATCTAGAACTCACACCGCTCCATTTATGCAGCAAGGCATCCCTTCTAGAGCTCAGTGCCATGGCAAACGCTCAGATTGAGTTCCCATCATTGGTGCTTCACCTGCCTCTGTGAGACCTGGGGTCACATCCTGTCCAGAGGCTTCCCCTCCCTCTTTGGGCCTAATCCTATGACTTGGGACCAAAAGCACACGTCTTCATGGAAATGGACATCTGAGAATGTAGACGTCTGGGTCCCAGCTCTGCCCCTAATGTAATCCAGCTCCTGGCAAGTCTTTCCAGCTTGCTAAGCCTGTTTCCTCATCTGGAAAATGAACTATTGCCGGGAGCATCGTGACTTTATGGGGTCACACTAAATGATTAGTTATAACAACACCTGCTGGAGAGGTTTCACACTTTCACTCGATGGCCACCGTTGTCCATTCTGCAGATGAGGAAACTGAGGCTTACTCGGTTACATGGTTTGCCGAAGTCAGATGCGTGAAAAGCGACTGACCCCAGCCCCAGATGGCAAAAGCTCCCAGGGGCTCCCTCCATGGGGCGCCATCTACCGGGGAGGGAGCGAAGGAAGAAACACCTGTTTTCAGAAGTGACTTCCAGAGTCCTCTCATATATTAAGGTTCTAAAATCCTGGCTTCTGAGTGCCATACATATGGAACAGAGCCCCTTTTTACAAAAATCCCAGTGATAGTGGCCCTGTTGGAAACAGAAGAACAAAAAATACACCAAAACCAACTAACCCCAGATGGCTATGAACATTCACCATTTGGCAGGTTTTTGTATTCTCAGTAAGTACAAGAAAAAAACAGAACAGCAAAAAAGAAACTAATAGCACAGTGGATGGAGTTAGACAGGCAATCCCCTCAAACTGGGTCTGTCACCAGCCCTGCGTTAAAGTGTGGGCTGGACATCCTTGCCGTCAACCCCCCAGGGAGCGGACTCTAAAACAGAGAGGGCAGTGTGTACCCTGAGAGCCAGGCCTGCGGGAGAGAGGGGCAGGAAGAAGCGGCAAGGTTGTCCTGGCGCAGAGCTCAGGGGAGGGAGCAGGACCTGGGCAAACTGTCCTGATGGGGGTTCTGCCCCTCCCCGTATCCACCACAGTGTTGCCTGGGCCTGGAAGAGCACAGATGCCAGACATGTACCCAAAAAGCTGCTGAGAGCAGTGCCCACGGGAAGACAGGCTGGGAACATAGAGGGAAGAGCCTGGCTTTGGGATTTCTGTTTATAGCTTTCTGTGCTATTCAGACTTGGAAAGCATTTATGTGTTTTCCTTTTTTTAAAGATTTTATTTAATTATTTGACAGAGAGAGACAGTGAGAGCAGGAACACAAGCGGGGGGAGTGGGAGAGGGAGAAGCAGGCCTCCTGCTGAGCAGAGATCCTGATGCAGAGCTGGATCCCACGACCCTGGGATCATGACCTGAGCCCAAGGCAGACGGTTAACAACTGAGCCACCCAGGCTCCCAAGCATTTGTTTTGATCACTGTTAATTTTTTTTTTTTTTCAGTGTCAACAGGGGTCAACGGCGCAGTTGGATCATTGGGGATTTTTGAAATAAAAAGAGTTTCATAATAAAAATAATTAACTTTGATTCTGCATTTTATCAAAGGCAGTGTTTTCACATGGTTTTCCATTAATTTCTCCTGAAATGTTTACCACTACTCTGAATGGTAGGTGTTTTCATCCTGGTTTTGAAAGCAGAAATGCCAGAAATTCGGAAGCAGACGGAAGGAATGAGGAATGAGAGGGGAGGGGTGGGAGGGGAGGGTGTGGAGGAGGAGGGCTGTGGGGCAGGATGCTGACCCCCACTGCTGACCCCCACCACACAGGCACAGGGTTCCTGCCCAGGGCCAGAGCTCCTCTGGCACCTGAGAGCCCCCTGCAGGTTTTATGGCATTTCCGTGACACGCCCACATATTGCCTCCATTATGTCGGACTGAGTAAGGACCACATGAATCCTTTTCATCCTTTTTTTTTTTTCTTTCTCATTCTTTACTTTAAAATTCCCCCATGGCATCATTTTTGGCATACTCTAAATTTGGGAGAAAGGCCACACATGTGGAAAAAATACGTATCCTCACTGTTTAAAAAAACTTTTTTGAAAACCACTAATTTAAAAATATACAACATCCTCAGACTCTAGTAAAAGAACATTCCCATAATTCACAGATGGAACTATACAGAATAAGGTTAGACACTCCACTGAAGAGAGATACACAGAATCATAAACTCCCTTGGTTCTGTCTGAACAATAGAATTCTGTAATTCCCGCCCCGCCCCCCAAAGTTAGCTTGAAGGAAAAACACCATGCAGAAATGCTCTCTGAAATTCTTCATCCCCATAATCAACCACTGTTCCTAAAGCTGACGGGACTGGAGGAGGCAGGAGGAAGGAGAGTCCCATGTGCCCAAGGGCTTCAGCTTCCGAATGGGGTCCCTTGTGAGAAGGACGGCACAGCAGAAGGCCCAAGCATCCCCACAGCCTGAGTCTCTGCTACTTAGTCCATCTTCCCATTCAGCCCCTTGGATTCAACCAGAAAAGACTCTGCCTTTAGCTTTCCAAAAGAATTTCCTTTCCTGGACACTCTCCTTCCAGCCGCAGCTGGCCTGCCCGTCCCACTCGATGACCTGGCTTTGAGGAATTCACTGACTCACTACAAATGAGAAAATCCATCCTGTGACTTCTGGTGGGTTAAAGCTTGTGCCTGTCTTGCGGCACATGCTGGCCTAGGACGGGAAGGACTCTGCGTGCTGGTGGCTGCAGGGACTGAGACCCAGGGCGTCAAAGGCTCAGAAAGCCCCAAGGGCTCGGATCATGGGGCGCTTAGGCTGTGCCCAGGCCACAGTCCTCCAGCCCCCCGCCAGCTGATGCCCACCCTGCCTGAGCCCCACCTGAGCGCTGCTCCCATCCCGCAAGGCTGTTGGCCAAGCGCGCCAACTGCACGAGCCCGGGAGCCCGAGGCCCCTCACCAGCAGCCTGGCGTCCTTGACCACACACAGCAGCTTGCTCCACTGGCCAAAGCGCTTCTTCCTCAGCAGGAATGCACAGATCTTGGCATCCTTCACCAGGTCCATGGAGGCCTCCTCGGATGGCCACTGGTGCCGCGTCTTCTTGCCCTTTCCGTCCTCCTCCTCCTCGTCATAAGACTCGTAAGAGCTGCTCATGGCATCCGAGTCATAATCTATCAGAAGAAAGGACAGAATGAAAGGTAAAGGGCCTACCCACGGACAGCTGACCCGGAAGCTGGCCTGTGGGGCCAGGAGCACGTTTGTGGCACCTGCAAATGAGGAAGGGGCCTCTGCGACCAGCGTGCCAGGGAATGGTAACAAGCAGAAAATGGGGAAAAAATAACCACGCTAGGTGGTGCAAAGTAACGCCAAGTTTGTTTGTTTTTTTAAGATTTTATCTATTTATTTGACAGACAGAGATCACAAGTAGGCAGAGTGTCAGGCAGAGAGAGAGGGGGAAGCAGTCTCCTCGCTGAGCAGAGAGCCCGATGCAGGGCTCAATCCCAGGACCCTGAGATCATGACCCGAGCCGAAGGCAGAGGCTTTAACCCACTGAGCCACCCAGGCGCCCCAACGTAATGCCAAGTTTTAACCTGAAGCATCTTAGAATTCTTTCTCTGGGACAACCAGTCCTAGATGGTTCAGTGAGGGCTGGGCTGTCCACAGACCCCGCATTTTTCGGTTCTGGCCATGCTGCCGCCAGGCGAGGGGATCCTGGCCAATAGGCTGTCCCCTGCAGGGTACAGAGCTCCCATGCCACACCTCTAGGTCAAGGTCCTCTAGGTCTGCAAGGTCCTTCCTGCACACATCACCACGTGCAGGCCCTCACTAACCATCCAGATCTAGCCCATGGCCTCCCTCACCTTGGGACTTCCGGAGAGACTTTTACACCTCTCCTTCTCAGTCTACAAGGTAGGAACACTTCCTATCAGATTATTCCCATTTCCCGAATGCAGTTCTCTCTCTCTCTCTCTCTGCTGGGGCTCTGCACCTGCTGTCCTCTCCCACAGGCTTCTGGCTCATCCGTTCAACCTCTTGCCTTTACCTGGATAAGTGCTCTTGCCTTTCAGGGTTCAATTATGGACACTGTCTCCATGACGCCCACCTCGAATGACCAAAGCTGGTGCCTTGACTTGTGTTCCCCCACCCCAATTCACCCCAGTGAGACTATATTCAGAGACAGGACTTCTAGGAGGTAATGATGGTTAAGCGGGTTACATGAATGGGGTCCTAACTCAATAGGACCCACGTCTTTATGGGAAGAGGGAGAGAGAGAGATTGCTCTCTGTCCATCATGTGAGGACACGGGGAGAAGGTGGTTGTCTGTGAGCCAAGAAGAGGTGGGGGGCAGTCTGGGTGCCAGGAAGTCCCTGCAGAGGGCTGCCCAGGAAGGGCCTGGATGACCTTGTGGGGGGCTGACTCCAGGCCCACGAAGGGTCCAGCCCGGACTGCCATGGCCAGTGCATGAGAGAGAAGCATCTGACACACAGCCAGCCAGCCACGGTCGGGCCTTCTCCCCGAGTCCACATCTCCCCACCCGCACACATGCACACCGCCATCACCGTTTCACATACTAGCCACAGGGGGCTACTTAAATTCAGTTCAAATTAAAGTCCGATGAAATGATCTGTTTAGTTCCCTGATGGCAGGAACCTCATCTCCAGCACTCAGCGCTCTCTGGTGGCTGAGGGATGTGACGCCAAGGGCACAGACGGGGAGGCTTTCCTGGCCTGGGCTGGAGGGACCAACACATACTGGGGAGCATGGTGTAGGCCACAGCACACACAGGGCAGGGCTGCAGATTACACTTGACCTAGATCCTTTGTGAGTCAATGCAAACAGGACAAAAAAGTCTAGAAGGAACACAGTGAGCAAAAGCTCTGAAAAATATCAAACATTTAAAGAACAGAGTGGATCTTTTCATTTTCCGGTAGCATTTAGGTGCTGGTCACAGATGCCAAGTCAGTGGTTGCATCTATGGGGAGGGGGCTGTGATGAGGAAGGGGCCCGAGGGAGGCTTTCAGGGTGATGTGCTCTAGTCCAGACTGGGTGTCCAGAAACAGGCGATCCTCCTCCTCATGTAACACGAGGACGTTGGCAGTGGCCTCACACTGCAGCACGTGCCCATGTCACCGAGCCCTGAATCTCCTCCTGAGGGCAGTTTACCATCTCACGTCATCGCAGGAAGAAGGGTGAGCGCAGGACAGTAAGATCAGAGATAGCGTGACCACCACTGCGTCCCTCAACTCGGCCACTTTTAGGACAGTGTGTTGTTACACTTGTTCTATCGTCCATCTCCTACTGTGCCTCATTTATTCATCACACTGGGTCGCACGGTGTGTGGATAGGGAGAAACACGGCACATATAGGGTCAGGTACTATGCGCACGTTCCGTCAACCACTGGGGGTCCTGGGACATCTCTCCCGAGGAGGAAGAGGACTGCTGACAGAGCCCCTGGCACCTAGCAGCCCATATAGACGTCTGTATTTCTTACAGAACAAGGGGGCAGATTCAAGTGCCAGCCAGAGATCTGTGGGGACCTGTGTGTTTATGGGATTTGCCAGTTAGGAATTGTTTTTCACACCAGACACTTTTCCATGGGTGGTTCTGGAAGAACTGAAAAACATTCCCAAGAATGATGACTTTCAACTCTAAAACATTAGAATGTATAAGGGCACCTGGGTGGCTCAGTGGGTTAATCCTCTGCCTTCAGCTCAGGTCATGATCTCAGGGTCCTGGAATCGAGCCCTGTATCAGGCTCTTTGCTCAACAGGGAGCCTGCTTTTCCCTCTCTCTCTCTGCCTGCCTCTCTGCCTACTTGTGATCTCTCTCTGTCAAATAGATAAATAAAATCTTTAAAACAAAACAAAAACATTAGAATGTGTATTTTAGACATAGACCCTTCTGCAAGAAATCACAACGGGTATTTCAACCAGTTGACCTCGAGGAGGGACAGGATAAGGGGAGAGGGGAACCAGAAAACTGAAAATAACATGAAAGGCAGGTCTGAGCCCCAAACCCCAACAAGATGTGCAGTGAGGGTGCCACCGACCAGCCCGGCTGGAACCAGCTTCCCAGGACTCCTGGCCACTACAGCCAGGTGGGGTCAGCACTGGGGAGCACTGTGGGGAGACAGGACGGTGGCAGCCACCACACCTCCAGTAGCTGCCACAATCACGTGAGGGCCAGCCCCTAGAACATATCTGTTCCACGTCACAGTGGCTCTGGGTCTCTGATAGCACCCTGTTCTCGAGGGTGACAGAAGCCCGATGGCAGCAGGCTCCTCGGGGGAAGCTCAGCACAGACTTTCAGAATTTCAGAGTGCGGCTACATAAACCTCTGCAAACAATTATTTTACCCTTGAGAAACTGCTTTTCGCTGATACCCAGCTGCTTCTAAGGGCTTGGTTATAGGTGCCTCAGTTGCCCAGCAAGGGCTCTGGGTCACCTCTCCCATCACAGAGCCAAGCAGTCTGTATCCATTGGGCTCAGAGGCCATAAGGAACAGGTGCCAGCTTGTAGTTCAAGGGCATTGTGCCCCCATGCCTGCTGCATGGGCTCCTTCTCCCAACACAGACTCCTCAGCCCACGCTAATGGTTTGGTTGGATGGTCAAGACCGGGGGGACCTTGCAGCAAGCCAGGACTGCAGGAGGGACTGGGAACAGACCTCCCAGATGGGCTCAGAAAGTGAAGATTTACACAGCAGGCGAGTGCTTAGCAAAGCCTCAGATTTTCACAAACAGGTACATAGCACGGTCTGTTACACGGATGTTGGGCGGCCTCTCTCCCCAGACTTCCTGTCCAAAGGGACTCCCAAACAAGTCGCCAGGGCATGGATGGACCTCCACTTGGCAGGATTAGTCTGACTCCTGACCCTTCTCAGTGGCCTGCCTGCACATGACACTGTCCCCTGGGGTGACAGCCAGCCACCTAGGACTGGACCACCACCATCATGGGGGGGGGGAGGTGGGACAGCAGGTACGCTCATTGGAAAAGATCACTGAAGAAAATTGGCCTTCCCTGCCGCAAAGCTCCTGCCCAAAGCACCAGCCACAGTCTTGCAGAATGCCCTATTCACCAGCCTGGCACCCCGCAGCACGGCTTCCGACCAGGGAACTCACGTTACAGCAAATGGAAGTCCACACCATGGGTCTGTGCTCTGGACAGTCACAGGTCTCACGTGTCCCCATTACCGAAGCAGCTAACACAGCAGACCAGTGTAATGCCTTCTGAATATTCAGTTCCAGGACCAGCTTGACTGGCCGCCCCTGGGAGGCTGGGGATGCTATCTTTCAGAATACCTTCGAGTAGATCCTGCTCTGCCCCACTGGGGCTCTTTCCCCCAGATCCGTGGCTCACAGATCTGGGAACCCAGGGCTGAAAATGGCAGTGGCTCCGCTCATTGTTACCCCAGAGACCCCATGGACAACATTTCTGCCTCAAGCCCCCAAGTCTTAGTTTCTAAGGGCAGAACGTTCCCTCCAAAGGACACAGTCATTGCTCTGTTAGTCCGGAAGTGGGGTCAACAGGCAAAGAGGGCATTAGCGGCAGACCAGTCACGGCCACACCGGTGGAGGGAGGAGGTCCCTGGGGGGGCTCTCAGTACTCCTGCGCCCCGTGAGTGAGCTATCCAATGCAGCCAGACCTTCCAGGAAGGAAAGACGAGTTATCTCACCGGGTGATCGACCAAGGGGCTTGCCAAGGGCAACGAGAGCATGAAGGAAGCCGTTGGTATGCGGTATGACCATTGACTGGTTGTAGAAATGAGGGCCAGGCTGGTGATGCAGCAGTCTTTTTGTCCTAACACTGATATGACATGTGTAGAAACAAGTTCCCCTCCCCACCCCATTCCCCACCACCCCTGGCAGCTGGCCAGGGACCTCCACACTGAAGCCACAGGCTCTCCAAGGGGAGAGAGTGGGTGTCACCCCAAAGTCGATAAAGGGACTTTGTGTCCCCTGGGGCAGTTAGGGAGTTTTCCATGAGGCTGGCAACAGTGGAATCATGTTCCCCTGTGCTGTCATTCTGCTCTTGGTCTTAGCTGGAAATTCAGTGTGGTTAAGAGAAGCAAGCTCGGTTGCCAAATGGGCACAGGAGAAACGGTGGTGGCTTTATACTGAGGCAGCTCGGCATGGCTGGAGTTACCTTCCCCAGTTCCCTTCCTTGGGTGGTTCTGGGTTAGGGCCGGCTGCCAGCGAAGTCTGTGAGCAGCCCGGAAGCTGGAAGGGAAACGGGGCAGCTCACACCCGCCGTCGCTGGTCAGAGCTCTGCTGGGCCCACAGCCCCTGCAGGTCCCCTCCCTGGTCATCCGAGGCCTGGCCGAGCTCCGCATTGCCTCCCAATGGCCAGGCCTTCTCCACGGACTTTTCCATCAGTGTCAATGGCTGTATCAGGTCTTCCTATCACGGACCCTTTATTCCTCTGCTAGAACTACACCAGACACAGGGTTCAACAGAGCTGCCACCAAGTCCCAAGCAGGAAGGCAGCTCCCTGCACTGCTCCTCGGCAGGAAGGCGAGGCCCCCAGCGTCCGCTGCTCACCCCTCGATACCTGACTGAGGGAGCCTCGGTACTCTGTCCCTGCGGCCGCGCTGCCCCAAGCCTGCATCCTTCTGCTACCCCTTCTTCTGGAACTCGTTCCACAAAAGCTGCCTACCCGTCAGCCGCTACGGGATGGCCTCTCTGAAGAAGGGGACAGAACACAGCACTGAGGTGAGGCTTCTCAGATGGAAAATGGCCTCAGGCCCCCCAGGCCAAAGGAAATACTCTGTTTCCAGCCTTGCAAGTGTATTGGTGGGAGGGGGACGGACAGTGGGAGCAGGCTAGAGCCCCATAGTCCCAGCGCTGGCAAATACCCGCATGGAAAAGCTGTTTTCCCGGACGCGCTGCTGAGAAGGAAAGGAAGCCAGTGAGGTTCTGCATTACACCGAGAGCCGCTTCAAGTTCTGGGTTTTCTGATTCATCTCCTGACTTCTGAAACGGTGGCCACGTAGAAATGACCTGAGTGCATTTTCCCTGGATGTTTTTTAAATAACAGAGAAACTAGAACAACTTGACTTAGAGGCCTTGAAACCCAGCATGTTGTAACCCCCTCCAGAACCCGTCCCTTTCCCTCTTGCAACACGACCACTCCAGAGGCTGAGCAGACCGGCTCCTGTCCTTGAAGGGCTCCCGTCCGGCTCGCATGCAGAAAGCACGTGCAGGGAGGCTTTCCAGGGATACTCTAGGACAGTGGGCTGCAGTGTCTCTGTCTGTCAGCTGCCAGGGAAGACAGAGGCAGAGACGTCAGGCAACAGGAGGACGGCCCCGGGAACTGGTGTGCACTTCCATCAGAAGACAGGATAGATAACCACGAGTTAATGTGCCCAAAGCCTCGTGACTAAAACGAGCAAATCTTGGGGCGCCTGTGTGGCTCAGTGGGTTAAAGCCTTTGCCTTTGGCTTAGATCATGATCTCAGGGTCCTGGGATAGAGCCCCACATTGGGCTCTCTGTTCAGTGGGGAGCCTGCTTCCCCCTCTCTCTTTGCTTGACTCTCTGCCTACTTGTGATCTCTCTCTGTCAAATAAATAAATAAAATATTTTTAAAAAATTAAAAAATAAAACGAGAAATCCCTGACTTTCTGTTTTCTCTTTTATGAGAAAAATAAGGTTCCCTCATCCACGGGGACGAGGACACCATCCCTCCACTGAATGCGGAGACACAGCTCCTAGCCTGACAGAGCACTGAGTGGGGGAATGAAGCCAGTGACCCCAAACCAAACCACAGAGGTGCTTGTGAGGGAAGACCAGAGCTGGGCCAGGACAACTCCAGCTCGGCAGGAAGGTTCTAGAAGAACCTGTATGAAAGCAAGAAGAGACGGACAGGTGATTTTGTACCCATGCTCCTTCAGCCTCCTCAGCACAAGGAACATAGGCGTGGGGCCACAAGGGGTACCACAAACACACGCCATGCAAGTCTCTGCCTTGTGACCAAAGAGGACACATTTCACTGAGACCCAAGACCCAGAGCAACAAGGTCTCACCCGGCATGAGTCAGAGAAAGACAACCATCTGAGTTTCCAAATGCACTGTAGGCTTTCAAAGCCCTGTCTCGGTTTACCTTTTGGGGTCAATACTGCCCAAGCTCCACATGCCCCCGGTGTTTGGTACCACCCAGACCCCCTTCCACACCCCAGGAGCAGGCCATGCTTCTCACAGTCCCACACTTCCAGAGGCTGGCGGGGGCCAGGCACCCCAACACTCACTTGACGTGATATATTCTGGAGTTTTCCCTGGGCTCAGTGGCACGGCTTCCTCGTAGTAACCTTCCGGGAGAGAGGATGTCGGGAGCGGTGGCGGCCCACTGTCAGGTGGCTGAGGAGAAGAAGGAAGAAGCCACAGAGATCAGAGCCATGACTAGAAAATTCTGTAGCTTGGACTAGAATGTGCTGACCGGCATTAGCCATGTTCCTTTGTCAAGTCCACGGCAAAAGAGAGCACTGAGCAGAGAGCTTCTGAGTTCGGTTCCTGACTGGCCTCCTCTGCTTCCTCGCCCACATCCACCATCAGCCCATCCAGGGCCACACACCACTCAGTCTACACTCAAGCAGCCTTGAGCATCCCAGCATGGCCTGCTTCAGAGGCAGGGGCTAACTCACAGCCCTCTCTTGGGCCCCACCCAGAGCTGAGATGGGGGTCTCCCTCCTCCGTCCCCTCACCCTGCTGACCCTCCCGTATCCCCTGGGCCCACACCCCTGCATGGGGCCTCTGGGGCATGGGAACTGTCCGGATTCCCTGGTGCTCATCACTGTGTCCCACCAGGTGAGCAGCGGCTGGATAAAGGAAAGTGGCTTGCCCACAATCTCACCACGCTCCCAACACGGGTGCACTACTCCCTAAAAGAAACTTGTGTGGAGAAGGAATCTGCTTGTAGCAGAAACCAAACACGTCACGGCTTCCTCTCAGACTGCGGGACTGATGCTCTGGTTTGAAAGCCACGACGTGGGAACACAAGAGTCGGCAGGACTGTCCAAATGTGAAGCCCCTCTCTGCTCATGTGCTCCCAACGACTAGTGCGAGCTGACCCCTCTTCCCAGGGATACCTGAGAGCCTGCTGCTCCTGTCACTCACCAGGCCTTGCCGCAACAGAAGGGTTAGATGGGAAGGGTGAGGAAAGCCAGCACTTGGCAAGTGCCGGCTATGTGCCTGCTGCTGTACCAGGTGCTTCTGCGTTGGCCACAGGTGGCGTCAGGCACACCCCTCATGGCAGGCCTCAGCTTACCTCCTACGTCACGACACAGAGTGGGCTCAGGGTCCACAACAGCCTCCTCGACATCGGGGGCTGGTAAACGACCAAGCAGGCTTCTCCCGCAGCAGGTCTGGCCACTAAAGCCCTCTTTGTGTTCATAGTCAGCCCCTTCCTTTCGTAACTAGCTCACACAACCTATACACAACACAACTAGCTCACACAACCTATACTGTACACACCCTGGACGGCATCATGGAGCACAGAATAGCAAGCCCAAACTGAAGATCTACCAAGTTAAGTTTCTAAGCAGAATGCTGTTCCGAAGGAACCAGAAGGATTTACACCCATATAAACTCTCTAGGATGGGAAACAGCTTAACTCTGAATCCAAGAAGCCCTTTGTGAGTGACTAATCACCCTCTGGGCATCCAACCCACTCCTTCCTCCCGCCAGATAAAGGTTCATTTACACAATTTTCCTCCATCTGCTAGAGCCCAGTTATCTCCCCTCCAGCCCCAGGCCTGGGGCCCCGGGCGAAATAACTCCTGGCCCCACGCACGCCTCCAGCAAGGCTGCCTTCCCTACTGTCGTCATTCTGTGGTCATGCGCTGGACAGTCCCCAGCGCCTCCCTAACCTCCCGAAGAGGCAGGGCTTAAAAACGGAACCTGATCCACGGTGCTCAGCCCCAGGCGAGGTCTGAACAGCAGACCGTGCCCGGGTTAAAATCTCTGCTTGTTGCTTTTGGAAAAGAGCTGCTCGATTCACTGGGTGTCTTTATTCATGAAACAGAGAGTGTTTCAGCTTCCTCTTGGTATGCTGAAACAGTCGAATGATTCATGTCCTGGGAAAGCATCACGAACAGCTGAGTCGGACAAACGCTTGTGAAACAGCACAGACTCCCTTCCTAGGGCCACGAGATGGGCAAAGTGTACCAGCTGAGGCCGCTGGCTGCCTAGCTCATGGCCCTCTCAGCTGGCTCTCAGACCCTGCGGGCGGCCGTGTGTATGCGGCAGCTTTTCAACGGCTCTGCCTTAGATCCAATCATTCTGCTTCTGGAAACACATGCCGAAAGGTCAACTGGTCAGGCAGGCAAAAACGTACACAGATGTTCGAGAGAAGATTGTTTAGCAAAATCTGAAAGCCACCTAAATCTTCACCCAGAGAAGATGGCATGCGGACACCTTCATGCACAGGCGTTGGAAAGGACAGTGCTTACGTGCTGAAGTAGTTTCCGTGAAAACCCTCCACCAGACACCGTTAAGTGGGAAGAAACAGGTACCCTAGGAGCCCTTGACATAACTGTGTGTGTTGAGGCTCAAAGACAGGAGGTCATCCAGCAAAACGCTGTAAGAGGTTGTGTAACTCTATGGCTTGGCTCTCCTGCACAAAACGTGTCATTTCTAAAATTTAAAAATTTATCATTTTTAAAAACAGAAAAAAATTAAACCATTTTTGCTTTGAAGTAATGCCCCTCAAAAATGAATTATTTTAAGATTTTATTTTTATTTATTTGCCAGAGATAGCATATGTGCACAAGCAGGGGGGCAGCAGGCAGAGGGAGAGGGAGAAGCCCCCCAATTGGGGGGGGGCTCGATTCCAGGACCCTGGGATCATGACCTGAGCCGAAGGCAGGCACTTAACCGACGGAGCCACCCAGGAATCCCTCAAAAACAAATTCTTATAGAGGAACACCCTCTCTCTCCAAAGGGACCCACACTCCTCTCCCAAATAGCACTTACCCATGAAATTCTGGGTTTCAGACACTCAAGTAGAGGAATTATGGCTTGTTAAGGGCAAGTCGGGGCGGGAGGGGGGGCAGGATAAAAAAAGGTCCCCGAACTGTTAGTACCATTTCTTTCAAAGGAGAAACTTCCTTCAGAGGCTTTGCAATAGGTAGGAATTCACCGAAATCACCATCAACAGGAGTTTTTTAAAAGTACAAAAACATGGAAGACAGATTTCCAAAAGGGGTCATGGAAAACCCGAGAAAGCAGAGCATGGGCAGGAAGCGTGAGCGCAACACGAAAAAGCGAAGCTCGAATCCCCACACTGACCCGGGGCCGAGTGACCTCCCCATAACTCTGGGCCCCAGTGTCCTCACTGGAAATGAGGGTGCCTCTGACGTCCAGCCCCGTGCCGAGATTCTGATGCTGCAGTTCTTACCAAGTCACAGGTCAGCAGGCTAAGCCAACTTGACCAGTCACAAGACCTTCATGAGAGCTGATGTCGGGAACTCATTGAATGGTAATGATGTGATGGCCACTGGCTGAGGCAAGGGGCTGCGGTGTCCCTCTACTGATGACACCACGCACTAGCGTGGCACCCCTCCTGCTGGATTGCGCGCCTCCCCTCAACACCAGAAGACAGCGAGTCTGTGCACGGACCCTGACTGCCATCCTGCCCCCATCACCTGTTTCCTGCACTGGTTCCCACAAATCACTCCAACCACATAGCCTCGGAGGAGACTAGAGAAGAAACAGGAGAGACCGTCCTCCTGAGGAAGGGCTGCTGGTGGCTCGGCCGTGCTCCAGACATGAGAGATGGGAGCAGCCCAGTGCCAGGCACTAGGCAAGGTCAAGTACCCTGGAATGCTTCTCTGACAAATTAGGCTGTCAGTGGCAATAACTCTACTTTAGGGAAGCTTCTCCTCCCAGGGGTCCGTGTCTCACTAGAGAAGCCCATACCTACAACTGGGTAGGAACACAACCTACAGGCTGGCTTGGCCATAACTGAATTCCCAACTTTTGGGGGGAAAAAAGCCCATTAGAATTTGCCTTTGCTGATTTAAGGGGAAGCCTGACATTTTCCCATTGCTAATAATAAATTTTTTCCCATTGCTAATAATAAATGCTATGTTTATATAATTATATGGCAGAGACACAGTTATCATTGTTATCGTGACTATTTGAGCACTCGAACAATGATTCCTAATATTTCCGGTTTGCCTGCATGTGGCAGATGCTGCCCTGGGATGCTTTAGAGAGATTTTTCTCCTGCTCAGAATTAACACTGAGATGTTGGCAGTTTGACAGATCTTACAAAGGAGGGAACAGAAGCCCAGGAGGTGAGCGGCCCCGACAGGTTCCCACGTGCGCATGTGTGATGGGCTGACCACAGGAGGAGCCAGAGGTCTGCCCGAGTGGCCTGGGCGCAGAGCCGGAGCCTGGGGAACGGCACGCACTGCATTTCTGTGTCGTGACGGGACTGTGCTGCCCCTGCTCTACCCGCTCCAGAAGGGAGCCAGCCAGCCCCCTGAGCCCACTGGGTCTAACCCGCATGCTCGTGTGTCCTCCACCATCATTCCCTCCTGCTCTTCAGGAAAGCAAGCATTCCTCATGCCCCATGCTCTTCACGGCTCCCTCTCTGTCGCCACGGGCATCTGTTCCTCCACCCTCCCCTCCTCCCCCAGCCATCACTCAGCCTCTGCACCAGAATCACCAATAAACGAAGAGCCCTGATTCTAACAGAGGAAAGTATCAGCCCAGGATCGAATCACTTTCGGACCTGAATTCTGTGTAGACAGTGGGTACCGGACTGTTGTGCCTACATGGACAGAACTCCATTAAGAAAAACATAATCAGAACCCAGAGAATCAGAGCTCAGGGTCCAGATCTGTTCCATCACTGACACAGAGACTTCAGAAGCTCGGCGGGCCCCCATTTGTGAGTCTGAACCTCCTCCGTGGCCAGGCCTTGTTAGGGAGGTGTCCATGCCGCTGGGTGAGCCTTATGAGTGGGGCAACAGAATTTTACAGTCTCCACTGCAAAAGAGGTTCAGTCCTAAATAGCACGAATCCTGAGCACTTTTCCTGGCAAAATAAAAGTTTTTATCCAAATTATGCCTTGCTCCATTCCTCTCACTACTCAACCTGCATTCCACAGGGCACGTGCATCAAGAGAAGGCAGTGAACCGCATTGTCAAGCTCCCTCTGGCTTCGTTCATGCACATGGAGTGGAGCCCCGTGGGGCTGGGTCATCTCCCGCCTCCACCAGCAGGAAGGCAGCTGCCAGGAAGGCCAACAGCCCAATGGGAGTGTCCACAGGAGACGTATCTGGAGTGCAGCCACAGATTAAATCTTTAAAAAGATGCCGCAGGAATTACCCATGAGACTGAACTCCTCAGAAAGAGGAAAGAAAAAAAGAACAAATGATTCATGTTCACTCAGAGGATCGCCATCTGATTTCACCAGGACACAAACGGTTTTCTTGTCTTAAAAATTGGGCTTTTGTCTCAACTTTGCAACTGGGACAATGCTTGATTTTGTCATATCTCGAATAACCCCATAAGCTCATCTATCAGACAGAACGCGGTTGCCGTGAATGTGCTTTAGAAGGTCTCGGTTAGGGGGCGCCTGGGTGGCTCGTGGGTTAAGCCTCTGCCTTCGGCTCAGGTCATGATCCCAGGGTCTTGGGATCGAGCCCCGCATCAGGCTCTCTGCTCAGCAGGGAGCCTGCTTCCTCCTCTCTCTCTCTGCCTGCCTCTCTGCCTGCTTGTGATCTCTATCAAATAAATAAATAAAATCTTAAAAAAAAAAAAAGGTGGTCTTGGTCAGGCAGTGTGCGAGGGCAGGAGGGGGCAGACGGCATGTTCACAGTTCCAGGGACAGAGGCAGGAAGCAGAGTGGATGCGAGTGGTGGGATGGGAGGTAGTGCTCATGCGGACGGAGTTCCAACAGGGGAAGATGGAAAAGGTCTGGAGACGGGGGTGGGGATGTCTGCACAACATTCTGAAAGCTCTTGCCGCCACCCAACGGGACAGCCGGCAGTGGTTAAAATGGTAAAGCTTATATCATGAATATCTTACCACAATTTAAGAAAAAAAACCCTTCATTATTATCTGCTGACATAAGAAATGATCACATTTATGTAATAAACTCTGGCCCTATACTATCAAAGAGCTTAGTTGCTCTCCCACACCCCATCTGAACACCGTGTAACGCCCTGCCACTAAATGATCGAATAAAAGTATTTCTACGTGCCTCGATGGGGTAGCATGACGATGTGGAATCCCAGAAGGGGTCCCATTGCTCCCTTCACTCAACCACAAAGATCTGAGAGACTCCTGATCGGGGTTCTGTGCTGTTCTGAGAAGAGGGGGAAGGAGGAGGCATGACAGGTGCCATGGGCATCTGGGCCCCTGGGAAACGGCTGCCTGAGTGTGGGCACTGGCCAGCAGGAACATCCACACAGACGGGATCCATTTCCCAGGGAGGCACCCGCCGCTCACACATGCTCCACACCCATGCTCTACACAGAGAATAGCAGCAGGATGGCCGCGCACTCTCAGTGGGAAACAAAATGAACCGTTCCCAGGCAGGCTCTGATGAAACACATGCATATCTGGGCCTAGTCCAGTCTCCCGTCGGAAAGTGAGGGAGCTCAACCAGACGGTCCAACATGTCGCGTAGCCCGCCCGCTGTTTCCAGGATTCGGGACAAGTTGTGAACACACACACAGCATCCCCCGCCGCACGTTCCCATGGACACTTGAGTAAGATCTTCTGGCCTCGCTGAAGGGCCACTGGGTCTCCTGGGACACCCTCGGCTGTCACCACATTCACTCCCAGGCCCGGACAGAGAAGAAACAGTCCAACATGCTCTCCGCACATGGAGGCATCGTCAACGTTATAAGACAAACGTTTGGACGTGCTCCCCACCCTTGACAAGAGGTCGGCCATTTTCCACCGCACAACTCAAGGAATCCAAGGAAGCATAGAAACAAACACCATCTCCAACAGGTGAACATTTAGTTTAATTAAAAGAACATGAAAATGAGGTCCCGCTGTTAGATCTGAGGATGTAGAGCCTCAGCTACCAAGAGGAACAGATCTCAGGGATCCCTCGGGGAAGAGGAATGGAAGGAGATGGTTAGGGGTGGTTGCATGAAGCCCTGCTGGGCACCGGAAGGGATAAAAAGCTCAAAGATAACTCATCTTCTAGAGTCTGCAATGCCAATTCGAGTGAGAAATGGCAGCCTGCGTTCTGTCATGTGCCACAGATGAGGCAACAGGGAAGAGCGGTTCAAATGGAGAAGGCCTGCTGGGAGTGTCATTCATTTTCCATCCTTCTGCCATTATCAGTGGTGTTGCTGGGACATCCCACAGGGCCCTCATGACTGGCCCCTGCAGCCTCGTGGGCAGACCCTGCCCAAATTCCAGCCCCCAGCACCCAGAGCCGCATGCCCCCTCCAGGCGGCCCGTGTCTTCCTTCGTGGGCCCTCCGTGCCTGGCCATGCCATCTCCAGCCCAGCACACGCAAATTCACCTGAAAGTCAACCTGCGGACAGATGACCGAGAGGCCACAGCCAATCTGCCAGCAGCAAAGTGAATCTACCCAATGTCCACCTTACTTGCTGAATAACGAATTCAGCGAAAACTTTCAGACAAATACAGTAGAAGCATCGTCACCAGTCTCTGCTTCCCTGACTTGCAAAAGGGACAGATGTTCTTTGTTTCCTCTGCAGAGCGCCCTGATGGATGTCCACGAACTGTTAAACATTCACGATCCATGAAAGGCTCCCCACCTGAGTGCCCCTCACAGAGTCCCCCGAGCTGAGCTAGTCATTTACCAAGGCTCAGCCTCGTTCTATAAATGCTTGTACTCACTACTATAGCTACTTCCGTTAACTTGATTAGCTATTACATAAATAAACCAGCGAAATAATGAGTGCAAAAGGAGAGGTGATAAATCCCTGAGATGACCCTCTTTAGAAAGCTTCAGCCAAGGGGCACCTGGCTGGCTCACTGGGTAGAGCACGTGACTCTCCATCTCGGTGTTGTGAGTATCAAGCCCCATGTGGAATATAGAAATTACATAAAAATAAAATATGAAAAAAAAAATAGAAAAGAGGGGCACCTGGGTGACTCAGTTGGTTAAGTGTCTGCCTGTGGCTCAGGTCATGATCCCGGGGTTCTGGGATCAAGTCCCGCACTGGGCTCCCTGCTCAGTAGGGTCTGCTTCTCCTTCTCCCTCTGCCCCTCCTTCTTGCTCGTGAACTCTCTCTCCCTCAAATAGACAAAATCTTAAAAAGATTAAAAAGTTTAAAATACTAATAATAAAACAACAAATAACACATGGAAAAACTGAAAGTCAATCAAGTCAATTCCCGTAACAAACAGGATGAGTTAAAAAAAGGAAAATAATGAAAAAGAACCTTATAAAGAGGAAAAAATATATAACAAATAATGTTAAAAAGATAAAAACAGCACACAAAAATTCTGCATTCAGTATACTCTCAATTGCAGAAAGATTAAATGTATAAAACAACAGCTAAACAGCGAAGGTCTCCTGTTCCTCATCCCCAGCCTTTCGAGCCCAGTGTGCCCGAGGCACTCCCAGCACATCTCCACATGGACTGGAGGTCCATGGCCTGGCCCCGGCTCTGCACAGGTGAAGGAAGTTGGTGGCTCTCCCAGCAAGAAGGAAACAGAGATGGCTTTTATGCCTTTCAGGGCTTCTTCCCAGTTTTCTATGGTGATCTTGTTGAAAATGCAGCACTTATGGCCCCTGCAGCCCTAGTAGTGTGGAAAGTTCCCTTTCAGCAGATCCCTGGGGACTCGGGGACCGTCAAAGCTGGAGAGGCCCTGCTCTGCTCCACAGCAGCCCATTCTCGCACAGGGCACAGAGCCGCAAGGCCCCGGCTCTAAGCTCTCATGGTCTTCCAGTTACCCCGTTGCACGGGCACCACTGGGACAGTCTCTTGGGAACTTTGGCGTCTGCAGCCAGAGACACTGTGGACACCAGGCCCCGTCATACAAGGACGTGGCAGAGCTGGTGCTGGCGATGGCTACGCTCGGTGTCCCGCTGCCTCCCTGGACCCCAGCTCAGGGGCAGGCTGCCAGTTCCTGACACAACCTTTCCTGATCTGCAGGCTGGGCCTGCCTTGGCTTTGCGGCCACACCACCCAAGTAGTATTATGGAGAAATGGCTGCATTTGAACCCAAAGAACCATGACAATTTCTGCCTTTTCATGCCTAGCGTCTGATCTTGAACAAATCACATATATTCACGGATCATAAATTTCCTTGTCTGGAAACTGGGTGTGTGTACTCTTCACATGGACAGACTCTCTGAGTTCAAGCCGTGAGGATTCAGTGAAATTACAAGGGAAAAAGTAATGAATGCGATGTGTAATACGCGGTAGGGACCTGTGAGCACTAATGTCTTCTGTCCCCCTCTAAAATGGTAATTAACGGGCATCTCTGGACATCAGCCACTGTGCTGGGGTGCAGGGAGAGCCAGGGGTAAATGGAACCCAGGCTGGCTCTCCTGCAGTCTTTGTCCCGGTGGTGAGATGAAGAAATGACTCATACAGGAGACGCCTGGGGGTCTCAGTTGGTGAAGCGTCTGCCTTCAGCTCAGGTCGCGAACCGGGGTCCTGGGATGGAGTCCCACATTGGGCTCCCTGCTCAGCGGGGAGCCTGCTTCTCCTACTCCCTCTGCCCCCCGACCCTGCGCTTGCTAGCTCTCTCTCTCCCTCTCTCATGTGGTGCTCTCTCTCTAATAAATAAATAAAATCTTTAAAAAATGACTTATGCAGAAAGCAAACATTACAAAGAGAATTGCCCAGTCACTGAGTTTGTTCTGATTCTGAACGAAAGTCAAATTTTCCTAAGGAAGCAAATGAGCCAACAGCCAAAGGCAGGAGAAGCTGAACAGCACACGTGAACATCTCAAAACCGCAAAGGCGGCGAAGAACTCACATAAAATACGCATTCCTGGAATGCACACATCTGTTTTATCCCAGAAGGTACAGAACAATGAAGATTAAAGGTGCCGACTACAGTATTCAAATCCAGAATCAGCCCAGAGAAAGGGTCAAGTCCCCACGTTCTACACCACTGTCGTGCCTGCTAAAGCCTCCGATCGAAAAAGAAAAGCTCTGACTTGAGAACAGATTTCTGTGAACCCATAGCTCCAGCCGTTTCCAAGGATAGACACCAGCCTCCCGCTTGGCTGGTACCAGCAGCCCTAGAAACCCACCCAAAGGAGAGTCTCTGGCAAGGCGAGGCCTCCTTTCCTCCAGATCTGGGCTGTTACCACCTGCCCAGAGCCCCGAGTGGCTCAGGGGCCCAGCGGCTGCAATGGCAGGACTGCGAACTCACCAGCCACGGCTGGGGGATCTCCGGCAAAGGCATCTGGGGAGGCGCTGGCAGGCTGTTGGGGGTCTCTTGTCTCTGAGCATGGTCCTTCACGTCGAAACCTGGAAGCATCGACCAAAACCAGAGAAGGTGAGGAGGAGGAGGGTGCGGACAGTGTCCCTCGGCCCCATGGTGAACGCTGGGCAAACATCTGTCTCCTCTAAGCCTCTACAACAATCCTGTTATTCTTCTCTAGGTGGGGGATCTGTGGCTGGGAAGAAGAAAAGAGGTTACAGAACTAATCAAAGCATTTGCAGGTGGAAACGGTGGAGCCGGCACTGAAGCCTGCGTTCCTCCAACGCCTCGCAGCCACGCAAAGGTGAGCTGCTCAGCCTCAACTTCTGCTCAGGTCAGTACTTATCCGTGGACCCAGGCGTGGGCGTGGACCCAGGCGTGGGCGTGGCCCCAGGGAGCTGTATGTTTGTATCAGGCGCCCTCCTGAAGTCAGATACTGGACACATGGGCGCCGTGCGTGTCCCACTGGCTTAAGCTTGAGCTCTCGGCACAGCTGTGTTCACGTTGGGAAGACAAGTTTATACCCAAGTGATTTAGGAAGCGTGATGGGCTTAGCACTGTGGCAGCAAAGGCAGGAAAGGAAGGAACCAGTTTAATCTGGGTGCGGGACTCCTTCCAGGCCAGCCACCCCCCCACCCCAGGAAGACCCACAAGGACCACCTCGCAAAAACAGTCACCTGTCCTGGGTCACGCAAGAGGCGCAGCCAGGGATCGAGTTAGGAAGGCACAGAGCCTGACCGCCAGAAAAACATGGGGGATTTCGGGCACAGAAGTGGGCACGGTAAAAAAGGACAGAAGGAAAAAAAGGACAAATGGGAATTCTACCACGAAAAACATGCAGCAGATGGGCTCAAGGCTAATGAACTCAGAAGAGAATGAGTGAGTTGGAAAGCATCGGAAGGCATGTGCGGGGAGACAGAGGGTGGGAACCCAGTGAGCAGAGGAAGAGGACAAGGCACCAGGGAGAGCCAACACAACCCCTGAGGCCAGAGGCCTGAGCACCGTGGCGCATTTGGAACAATGGTAGGCAATAGCCGAGCAAAGGGAAGGGGTGCTCCCTCTACTAACAGGAGCAACGGGAGAAAGGAACCATCGTGGCGACTGTGGGTTTATCATGGGTCAGGCACTATTTGGAACCATCTTCTGTCCTCTCCTCTACCACGCCCCCTGCAGGATGTCCCTCCAAGGCAGAAGCTCCGGGGGCGGTGGGGTGGGGAGAGGAGCGGACAGAGATGAAGTTCCTGGAACACAGTCACCCACTAAGTCCATCAGCTCCCGAAACGTTTTGCCTTCCTGCGGCTGGAGACCGCCAGCACCTGGCACACAGGGACCCGCCCAGGGACAGTGTGATGAATAAACAATAATGAGCAAACAAATGTGTCTGAGAAAGACAGTGGATTAAGGATGGTTTAGAGACAGAAGGAGACTGGAAGACAAAAGAGCAGACGCACCTTTGGACGACTGTATCCTCAGCAGGATGTCTGTGATCACTGCCTTCTTCTCCCTGACGGTTGACGTTAGGTATTCGTGGTCCAGGAGCTCAAGAAAGAGACGGAGTTCAACGATTAATTCTTCCATTGCTGCAAATGAAGGAGAGGGATGGGAGCTGTTAGACCCAGTGCAGGGCAAACGCCATAATAGAAATGCATTGCATTCTAGCTTCACAGGATACAGTATTCCAGCGTGAAGAGGCGTGTCGAAGCCAGGACGATGAAGATTCATGCGTGATCTTCTGGACTAACGCACTGCTCCTTTGCTTTGGCTCTGAGACAGTGATTTTCTAGGAGAAGCTCCAGTCATCTAGGAGAAGCTCCAAGCCATGCTGCCAACACATGGAGTCATGACCCAAAAGCCTGACATCATCATGGTGTCAATTGCATGATATTAAATTTCAATGTCAAGGAGGAGATGGGAGTTTAAAACGCCAAACAGTTTTCGCATAACCGCCAGGACGTGGTTTCGGAAACTCAACCCCCAGCTCTGCCTTTGCAGGGCTGGCTCCATCCCCAGGAAGGCTGTGAGCATGTTTGTGCAGTGACGACAAAGTCGCCGCATGCCAAGGAGGACTTGGGGGCGGACTCCTGACCATGTCTTTTCCTTCTAGGATCACAGCCGACTCAGGACCCGATGACACGGCTGGTGTCAGCAATTTACAAATCATGGTGTGAACCTTCCAGGGGCCCCCAAAGCCCTTTTAGGGCACGGAGGAGGCCCAACTATTTTTCTAACCCTGAAGCATTATTCTCCTTTTCCGGTGTCAATGGTGCGAAGGCAAAGGGGCTTATGCTGTGGGCCTCTGCCACACATCAAGGCAGGGACAGCAGAAGAAACTAGCGGTACTGTATCCCTCACCACACACTTGCAGGAAAAATGAAAATGTCACTGTCACTCAAGAGTGGCTTTGATGGAGTGGTACAAATTGCTGCTTTTATTCTGTCTCAGCCCTGGATGATGGACTTTTTTGGGATCCCGTGTGACGAAAGGATAAAGTATGCAAACAGCCTGTCTCCTGCTGACTGGAGGATAACGGCCGTCGGAAGAAAAGCACGTGTGCGATGTTTAAGGTGCAAGTTACCCTATGCTGCTTTTCCTGTGCAGCACTGAAGAAGAAATGATACACAAACAACAAGCACACAGTTTGAGCGTATGACCGACATCTTCCCAAAAGAGAACAAAGTGACCTGACCACGTCAAGGTAAACAATGACAGCCTTGGTTGCCAATGATAAAATTTGAGCTTCCAAGTGGAAGTGAGAATTTTGAACACTTGTACCCACCCCCATGAGCATGACTGCTTCTCAGCAGAGACTTTCCTGATCAGATGGGGACAGACACTGGCCAACAGGCTCTTCTGATCAGATATAATGCGGTGTGTCAGCGTTTAGAAGCTCTGAACCACTCCGCGATCACTGAGGTCACGAAATCACACACAGGCAAGGATCTAAGTACAAAAGAAGAGGAAATATCTGATTGTATCAGAGAATGAAGTGTTCTGTGAGTCAGCTTCAGGTCCCATGTTGCAACTAACCTTTAAGAAACTACCCCTTGCCCGTTTTAGGTGTAGGATCAAAGAATATTGACCACTTTCTGAAGGGGCACTGAAGAATTCTTCTCTGACTACGTAACTGTGTGAGCCAGATTTTCTTCTTGTGCTTCCTCTAAAACAACGCTCCACAACAAGGTGAATGCAGAAATACATACGAGAATCCAGCCATCTTTATCAGAACAGGCACAGGAGATGCTAGCCGAAATCTGAAACAGGCCATTTTCCCCCAAATCAGCTTGTTTTGGCAGACGCAGTTACTTTTTGTAAATGTATTTTTAATGAATTAATAAATACCCTAAAAATCTGCCACTTTTTGAGCTCCTGGGTGGCTCAGTGGGTTAAGCCTCTGCCTTTAGCTCAGGTCATGATCTCAGGGTCCTGGGATCGAGTCCCACATCAGGCTCTCTGCTCTGCAGGGAGCCTGCTTTCTCCTCTCTCTCTCTCTCTGCCTGCCTCTCTGCCTACTTGTGATCTCTCTGTCAAATAATTATATATAAAAAAATCTGTTTAATTTAAAAATCTGCCACTTTTTAATTTGAATATAATAAATATAAACAGATACACCCACGTAAATAAGAACTCTTTGGAATGTTCAATATGTATGTTGGGACCAAAAAGCCCTAAGCAAAAAGTTCGGTCCCTGAGATTTTTTCCAAGTCGACAACACTCTTCAGGATTAAAGGTCGTGCTGTTGTCACTACCAACACTCTCACGGTTTTAGGTAGGTCTAGGATAGAGAAACGGACATGAGTCCAAAGTGTTCACTTGTCCTCACTGAAAGTTCCCTCTATGAAATGAAGAGATTGAATTAATTTTTAAAGGTCCTTTTCATTAGTAAGACAACTTCTCGATGATTCTAAGGGGAAAACAAGCTCATCTGTCCTTTAAGAAAGAAGGGCTGCTAGCATTATTCAGAATAGTCGTAAGGTGGAAACCACACACAGGCCCGCTGGTGGATGGCTAGGTAAAGCGACGTGGTCTCCACACGTAATAATCTGGATATCAATAATCCGGATACTGCTCCACCTTAAACAGGAAGGGCGTTCTGACACCTGCTAGAACACGAGGAACCTTAAGGATATCGTGCTGAGTGAAGTCAACCGGTCACAAAAGGACAAACACTGTCTGATTCCACTTATACGAGGTACATAAAGTCATCAAGATCAGTGAGACGGAAAGTGGTGTGGTGTGTTCTGGGGGCTGGGAGGGAGAATGGGGAGTCCGTGACCCACGGGTGGTTTCAGTTTGGGGAGATAAGTGACTGCTGGGGAAGATGAAGCAGCGATGGGACGGACGGTGGTGACAGCTGCCCACCAGCGTGAGTGTGCTGAATGACACTAAATTGTGCTTTCAAAAAAGGGTGAAAATGGCAAATTTTACAAAACGTATATTGTACCACAATAAAACATATCAACCTCATCCAAAAATCAAAGGGTGGCCATTAGCAAAAATGTGGAAAATGCTTATGAGCCTATGTGAAACTCACAGCAGCCCGTCTTCATTCACACATTTTCTTTTCCAGAAAAGCCTCTCTTGTATACAGCATGATTACATTTATCCTGAAAGATTTCAATTAGGAGTTGGTTTTCAGCATCAGAATGTCTGAAGAGGACCTCGGACTGAGCCTGTCCTGTCTCTGCCCTGGGCTCCCTGACAGAGTTCCCACAGAGGACTCACGCAGACCCCTCCTCGCTGAGAGTCTGCCATAACCACGGCTGGGGGACACCTGTCCAGCTGTGCTCTGCGGCTCAGAGACCAGCACCTTCGGCCACAGGTGGCCTCTGGGCAGCCAGAGCCGCCCTATGGGGCCAGCAGCCCCCTCCTGCTCCCAGGTTACAACTCTCTGGGATGCCCTGTGCCAAGCTGGCCTGTCCCATGCAATGCTCCTTCCAGAGAGTGTGCCTGGGACCAGGAACTCACAGGCAGCTGGGATTTCCGGAGCTGAAGACACATAGACATGGGAGCCACGTTTCAGCATGTACGTGCCAGAGCGAGGAGCTTGTTCCAGCGGAGGAAAGGACCCAGTAATCAGTACCCAGGGGAGCATGGGCAGACCTGCTCAGATGCCAGAAACTAGGTGAGGAGAGAGGACAAAGACACACACTGATGGGCTTCCTAAGACCTTCCTGGGCTCTCCTTGGTCACCTGTGCACTTGAACTACACAGCATACCTGCATCATTCTAATGAATGATCATGATGCTGATTTTTACTAGGCTGCCCTGTATGGTATTCTTTTTGCTGAAATCTCAGACCAAGGCCACAATGCATAGACAGCTCTCCCCACCGCTGGGTGCAGGACCTCCCAAATTTGAGAGTGTGATCATCAGAAAAGTTACTCCATTTCAGGATCATCACAGACTCCACAAACCACATTATAACCCTTAAGAGTCCCTTTGAGCCCTACAAGCCCACAGCATCCCCTTTCTCCCAGCCTGCTCTCATTAATCACCCCCCGTTTGTTCCTCCCCATGGTGGTCTTCCTTAATTCCTAAAGTTCACCCGTCTTGCAGCAGCCATACCGATAACTGGATATCAAGTGATATGTGGGTCGGTTTTTGTTTTGCTATTTTTTCTCCAAACAGCGGATCTGCCGGTTAAGAGCACATTTTGTGCTTGGCTCATCTCAGGATAACCAGTCCCCCGGAGAAAACGTGCATGGAAAGCCCGTCCTTCTGGACGCACAGCTCGCAAGCAAAGAAGTGATAGTTTCTGATGGCCAACTACCCACGACGCCTCCTCCTCCTCCTCCTGGGAGTGCTGCAGGGACCCCCTCGTCCCCATCTGCGGGGGCACAAGAAGCGAGCAACGGTCTGATCACTTGTCTTCAAGCAAATGCTCCCCCAGCGGCCTCAAGTGCCCACACTGTGCTCGTCCCTGGACGGTTGTGAGTTTGCTCTGCTCCCCAGAGACCCGGAGAGGGGTTGGATGGTATTATCAGCCCCTGTTCACAACTCAGCAAACAGGAGTTCAGACGGGTCGACAAAGGCTACTAGGCAAATAAGTGGCTAAGCCTCTGTAGCTAATAATTTTTTAAAATTTGTTTTTAAGATCTTTTACTTATTTATTTGACAGAGAGAGACACAGTGAGAGAAGGAACACAAGCAGGGGGAGTGGGAGAGGGAGAAGTAGGCTTCCCGCTGGGCAGGGAGCCCAATGTGGGGCTCAATCCCAGGACCCTGGGATCATGACTTGAGCCCAAGGCAGATGCTTAATGACTGAGCCACCCAGGTGTCCCCGCAGCTAATAATTTGCTCACAGCCACACAGCGAGATGGCAGCAGTGAGAACCTGAACACAGATCAGATTCCAAAGGCCCTAATTTGACCCTTTCATGATAATCATTCCACGACTACTCTCTGAGATGACCCAGGCCTGGAGAGATGCCACGACCATTTTTTTAAGAGCAATAACATGGTCAGTTATAATTAAGAACACGCATCCTAAAAAAAAAAAAAAGAGGGTGATTCATTTCACCAGAGCCTCCACAGCACCCTGTAGAGAATGATAATCACGTACTGAGCCCCCTACCTCCCCATGGGACTGCCTGTCCCAATGTGCACAGATAGCGTCCCATACAACACTGCATTCCTTCTGGTGCCCATGCACTTGGCAAATGCAAGTTGAAGGTCAGGGCACAATGTCCCATAGCTCACGGACATGCCACCACGGCAAGGGAGGAATGAGAAGTTCCTGCACCCAGGCTCCCAGGTGGCTCAGTCGTTAAGCATCTGCCTTTGGTTCAGGTCATGATCCCAGGGTCCTGGGATCGAGCCCCGGGTCAGGTTCCCTGCTCCACAGAGAGACTGTTTCTCCCCCTCCCACTGCCCCCATCTGCCTGTGCTCTCTCTTCACACTCTCTCGCTCAAATAAATAAATAAAAAGAAGTCCCTGCACCCAATTTTCAGTTTAAAATTCTTGACATGAACATGCATTTCCCGTAAGTCTGAGAACAGTTGGAGGTGGAAGACGCAGGCTTATGCATGGGGATGGCCTCGTAGGACAGGCATGGCGGTCCGGCATCCAGGAATTCAGGTGAGGTGTTCAGAGACACATCCCAAGTGCCCTTCTCCATGTGCGACCCTGCACTTATCTTCCTGATGTCCAGTTTTTCCACTGCCTGACACTGGTTCCCTCCTGCCTCTCCAGAGTCAGGAACGGCTCACAGGAGGCCTCTGACCTCCTCCAGCACCAGCGGCCCGAGTCCTCATCCTGATACAGCTCTATCACCCGCCCCCACCCCTGCCCCGCAACGTCTCATTGCTTCCTAGAGACGTCACATAGAGAATGACGGCAACCACCCAGAGCTGACCACATGCCAGGCAATAGGCTACAGGCTTCGCACACATTACAACAGATCGTCCCACTAGCCCTTCGACACAGGACTTACCTTCCCCATTTCACCGACGGGGAAACCGAGCCTGAGAAACATTCTGTTCTTGCCCAAGGTCATGTTGTTCAAAATAAGAGGCAGGATGGGAGTCGGAACCTAGCTGCTCGGTTTTCGTGCCTCTGCTAGCGACCCCATCACATCGTACATTTCGCTCACGGTGGACGAGGACGTTCAGTCCTCTTATGTCCCGTTCCTCGGTGTTTACGCCCAAATAACCTCTCTCCCGTGACATAGAGCAGGCTCTCTACGCAATCACATCCTTCAAGGACGTTGCTCAAACTGTGCCTTCCGTAGCTATTTTACTAGCAATTTTTTAAAACAAATATTAAAAACAAAAGCATCTTATGACTGTAGAGAATTCATCCAAATCCCTCCACCTCCTGATGAAGAAAAGAAGGCTCAGAGAATCAGAGACTCACCGAGGGCACAGTCTGGTGGACCACTTCCATCTGTGTGCCCGGAACGCGGGCCAGAGGGCTTTGTGCTCACAGTAACAACCAGTTACGATCCACCATACCAAATACTCTCAGTGTATTTTATCCCTTGATCCTTACCCTCCCATTATCTTAGAAATACCACAGATGGCAGAGATATAATGAAGAAAGGTGAAGAGCCTAACCCTGGACAGGAAGCAAAGCAGGAACACATCGACCCTGGACGCCAGGCTCCCGCCTCCGTTGTTCGACCCCCTAATCCCTCACACCTGTTGTCCTCCTCTGGGCACAATGGGTGTCACTGAGCATTGACTGGGATCAGGACACAGGTGCAAATCAGTAACTTCCAGAAGAAAAAAAAAAAATTTTTTTTTTTTTCCCGAAGGACCCACAGCCACACAAGAGACCTGGCTACAGAATTTACGATTCCCAAGGCAGCATGGAAATCACCTAGAGGCATTTCAGGATATATTCTATGCATCTGAAAAGCAGCACTCCCTTCTCCCTAGCCAAAGGATTTCTCTACTAAATCAAGAGACTCTGCTCTCTTGTAAGTGGCCAGTGTGTTCCATGGTCCTACATGAAAAGGGAAAGTGTGAGTAAAGGCTAGATGGCACGGCAGACCAGTAATCTAGTCCAGCAACATGATTCCTCTGTGATCAACCCCCTATTCCTAAAAGCAAACCTCTCAGGTTTGCCAGTGGGTTCCTTCATTTCAACAACATAAAAGAAATGGGCGATATTATTTGTGAGACCCGAAAGCCACTTTAAAGGAATCTGATCCACCTTACTGCCTAAATCACAGCATCTGAAAGCCAGAAGGGTCCATCAGATCTAGTGTCTTTATTTCACATGGGAGGAAGCTGAGCCCCAGAGAAAGGAAGTGACCTACCTGCAGAGTGCACACGGGATTTGGTATAAAGGCTTCAACGGGGAGCCGGGTGCCCTGATGGCCAGGCAGGAGTGTCCTGGTCTGCGTGAAATGGTCTTCCTCACACACCTCCTCCAGGGGCAAGGACGGAGCACCCAGGGTCCACCTGTAGTTGCTCAGGAAACCAAACCACTCTTTGAGAGCAAATCCTGCAAACAAGGAGAAGAAATGCCTGCTGTGACTAGTTCCAGGAAGACACAGTTCACTACCCAGAACTTCCTGCTGCTTGGTCAGAAAAGGCAAGGACCGGTTCACAGACTGACATCACTCCACGGGTCACGGGCACAGACCACACACGTTGCCCAGTCCACGTTCTCCTCAGTCTACAAACTTCAGTGATGAGTGAGAGACCTAGTGCTGTCTGTATCCTCACTTCTAGCCAGTGTCTCCAGACAACCATGAGGGAGGCGGGGCATCTTTTCAACACTATGTGTTCATCCGAGATCCCTCCGGGGCAGCTCTTCCCTTCAGGGTCCCAGCCTAGTGCACAGAAACTTGACACAACTTCCCTCACCTAGTCTCCAATTGAAAACAAGCACATGCTTCCCTCAACTCCCCAGTGTCCCTGGCTCTCCCCTTGCCAGCCACACCCCCAGCCCCAGCTAGCATCCTGACCTGCCAGCCTCCATGTGCCCTTCTCACCGTGTGAGGCTCTGGGTTTCCTGCCTACCACACCCAGGGCTATCTCCTGCTGCCAGCCAGCCCAACCCGATCACCGGGCTGACTGTCCTCCCTGCCCCTCCAAGTGCTGCCAGTCCTCTAGAGTGGTGTGGATGTCTAGAGTGGAGTGGCCATTCCATTCATCCCGACCCCCCCTTCCCAGAATCTGTCTCTACTTGGTCCTCCTCATCTACTGTGTTCTCAGAAGGAGCTCCGCCTTCACAGCCATATAAATCAGATCCAAATCCCAGTTATGAGCCTTCCTAGTTTTGTGACCTTGGGTGAGTGAGTAGTAAGTCCCCCAAATTATCCCATGCTTAAAATGAGATGCTGATTACGCATCTCGGTATCGTAATGAGGACTAAATGGGCAGCTCTACATACAGAACCAAGTATTTCACAAATGGTAGCTGTCATCATTACAATTAGTATATGCTCCTCTTTCTAGAACCTCGCTGTATGACTCGGGATCAATGAACACAGTAAGTGAACAGTGCTCACAAGCTTCTTATCTTCTTAATGATGATATCCTTAAATATGTGCCCCCCTCCCTTAAGAAGAGTCAGGAAACACTATTCTGTACAACTCTGTGCAAATACATTTGAAATTGGGTGAAACACATAATTTCACAGAAAAGAATACAATTTACCAACTATTTTAGAAAGCGTACACAGATCAATTTTCCATAGAAGTAGAGAAAGTTATCAAAGATTTGCCTCACAGATAAAAGCTCCAGGCCCAAATGGTTTTACAGGTGAATTCTGCCAAATCTCAAACACCAAACCTTACTACCCAAATTTTTCCAGAGGGGAGGTACAGAAAATTTTCAAATACTCTCTTTTTTAGAAGTAGGTTACAAAAGCGATGCCTAAACCTGATAGAGACAGCACAATAAAAGAAAACCAAAGACTGATGTTACTTACAAATATCAAGGTACAAATCCTAAATAAAATATTAGCAAACAGAAATCCACACTGTAAGGGCCTGCCCCTCCCAGAGGAACTTACTTGTAAATTTCAGATATAGGGGCGGGCCAGGCTGGATGGAGACATCCAATCAGTGGGGTGTGCATATATTTACTGAGGTGAGTTGAAATCCCATTAGCCACCTGTGTGTAGGCGGGGCTCAACCACCTCTATAAAGGTTAGTTTGCAAGGGGAGGAGTAAGAGGGAGTAGTAGGAGCCCTGAGAGTTGTTAGGGAGAGCCGTTAGAGCCATCAGAGCCGTCAGAGCCGTGAGAGCCATCAGAGTAGTAGGAACCGTGAGAGTTGTTAGGGAGAGCCGTTAGAGCCCTTAGTTGGGGGAGCCGTCAGGATAGCCACACCGTTGGGAACCGAGTCGCTTCTACCGCCGGGGAGCGGCCTCGCCACTACCAAGCCGCGGCCCCGCCGCCAGCGGCCTTGCCACGGCCAATGGCCTCGCCGCCGGCAGCCTCGCCACCAGTGGCCTTGCCGCCACCGAGCCGTGGCCCCGCTGCCAGCGGCCTCGCCCCGAGCCCCGGCCTCAACGCCCGGAGCCGTGGCCCTGCCGCGAGGGGCCTCGCCGGGCCTAGCCGCGGCCCCACTGGGAGTGGCCTCGCCAGAGCGGCGTCATTCTGGGGAGCAGCCTCGTCATCGAGCGGCCTCTTCAAGTGGCCTCCTCCGGAGCGGTGGCCTCCTCTGGGAGCAGCCTTGTCAGAGTGGCGTCATGGGGAGCAGAGTCTGTGTCATCGGGGTTGTTGTCCTCCTTGTCATCATCGCTGTTGTCATCACCTCTTCGTTGTTGGGAGGAGCCTCGAGCAGCCTCGTCCGGAGTGGCCTCTTCTTGGGAGCGGCCCTGACCGGGGAGCACCCTCGCTGGAGCAGCCCCTGTCTGGGGAGAGGCCCTGTCTGGGGAGTGACCTCATCAGCAGCGGCCTTGTCCTGGGAGTGGCCTTGTCCGGAGTGGCCTCATCTGTGTAGCGGCCTCATCCAGAGCAGCCTCATCTGGAGCGGCCTTCTTGGGAGTCATCGTCGTCGGGGGTCATTGTCGTCGTTGGGGTCATCATTGTCGTCTCTTCGTAAGAGATGGCCCCTACCAGTTTGATTTTTGATGCTTGGCGCGAAATAAAGCTTTGTTTCATTTTCGCTTTGTGTCATCTCATTCCTTTGATCACGGACCCTAACACACACAATACATTAATAGCACACCATGACCAAAGGGGTTCATTCCAGGAATACAAGGATGACTCGATACGAAAGACTAAAAAATCTACTAATATAATTCATCATATTAATAAATCTTGTAAGAAGATCACGACTCTCGCCATAGATCGTGAAAAAGCCTTCAACAAAATGCAATACTCATTCCTGATTTTTTAAAAAGTCAGTAAACGAGCATTGATATGTACTTTCCTAGCTTGATAAAATACAAGTACTAACTGTTATAGGGTGCATATCTGTATCCCCCCAAAACTCATATGTTGAAACCTAATGCCCATTGTGACGGTAATGGGAAGCAGGGCCTTTGAGAGGTGATGAGGTCATGAGGGTGGGACCTTCCCGCAGAGGATTAGTGCCCTTCCCACGGATGAGGAGGAGAAGTAGGCAGCCCACAACCCAGAAGAAGGCCTTCATCAAGCCCATCCATGTTGGAACAATGATCTCAGACATCCAGCCTCCAGAACTGGGAGAAATAAATTTCTATTCTTTACCAGGCACCCAGTCTATGGTATTTTGTCAGAGCGGCCCCAAAGGACTAAGACACCAAGAGACAAAAACAAGAACAGCATCCTAGTCAGGCATTCCAGGTAAGGTCAGAGACAAGCCAAGGATGCCTGTTTGCTCCACTGCCATTAACACAATACTGGAAGTGTTAGCCAATGCAGTTAGAAACGAGCAGGCAATGAGAAACTCAAGGATGGAGAAGAAAAAATAAAATGATCTCTGTTTGCAGCTGATGAGAAATTATACATAGAAAATCGAAGGCAGGGGCTCCTGGGTGGCTCAGTGGGTTAAAGCCTCTGCCCTCGGCTCAGGTCATGATCCCAGGGTCCTGGGATCGAGCCCCACATTGGGCTCTCTGCTCAGTGGGGAACCTGCTTCCTCCTCTCTCTCTTTGCCTGCCTCTCCGCCTACTTGTGATCTCTGTCAAATAAATAAAATCTAAAAAAAAAAAAAAAAGAAAATACATGGGAATCAATGATAAACCTACTAAAAATAATTTTAAAAACTTGAATAAAGTAGTAGAATATGTAGAAACTATTGCTTTTCCCATATTAATTTTTTACCAAACAATATATACTAGAAGACAGAGTGAAAAAGATTTCATTGAAAAGCAATGAAAAAAGTAAAACACTTAAATTTAAAAAGAAATGTGCAAAACTTCCATGCAGAAAACTTAAAACATTCCTGAAAGACAAAGAAGTAAATCTAAACAAATGAAAAATTGTCCCTTGCCTATGGAAAGGACAACATCAGAAAGATGTCAATTCTCTCCACATTCACGAATAAATGTAATATACCTGCGAGTATGCAAGGACATTTAAGAACAATGAAGAGGGACTGGCCCTATCCTCTATTAAAATGTAATATAAAGTTTCTATCATGGAAAATGGAAGAGGAGCCCCGGGGGGCTCAGCTGGTGGAGCGTCTGACTTGATTTTGGCTCAGGCCATGATCTCGGGGTCCTGGGATCCAAATCTACATAAGGCTCTGCACTCGGTAGGGACTCTGCTCGAGATTCTCTCTCTACCCCTCCTCCACATTGTGCGCTCCCTCTCTCTCTAAAAGAAATAAATAAAACCTAAAAAAAAAAAAAAAGGTGTGATACTGGTACATAAATTCCCAGTTGGATTGATTCTACAGAAAAGAACATCAACAAAGAGGCCTGTATACCTTGTGGCCTCTGAGAAAGGCAGTGTCCCAAACCCAATGAGGAAAACATGGACCTCTTAACTGGAGATAGGACAACTGGTGATCATTTGGGGAAAGAAGAAAGATCAATTTAAATACTTACATCATATACCGGAAAAAACTGCAAAGACACTTGACAGTCAAAATATAAAATGTGAGGCCATCCAAGTCCTCAAAGATTTAGAAAGTGAATTCTTCTATAACCCTAGTGGGGGAGATGATTTTCTCTCTAGGATTCCAAATCAGATGTCACAAAAGAACACAGGGCAGGCAGGGACTGCTCTGTGCAGCTCATGGCCACCTCCTGCTGGCAAGGGGCTCACACCTGCCGCGCACTGGGGCTCACACCTGTGGCACACCAGGGCGCATACCTGTGGTGCACCAGGATGTACATGGGGGTGCACACCTGCGGTGTACCAGGGCTCACACCTGTGGCGCACTGGGGCTCACACCTCTGACGCACCAGGATGCACACGGGGGCACACACCTGCGGCGTACCAGGGCTCACACCTGCAGCGCACCGTGGCTCATACCTGTGGCACACCAGGATGCACACCTGTGGTGCATCAGGACACACACCGGGGTGCACACCAGGGCTCACACCTCAGCGCACCTGCC